ACTACTCAGTGACACTAACCCACAGACGTCGACGACACTGCTTTAATTGTTGCTCGAAGCCCAAGGAACGGTACCGTCTTTATCATAATCATTCCTTGTGCGCATTCTCATGTCTTCAACATCATTCTTCTGACTTGAAGAAAAAATATCTACTTTATTCTTTTTGTGGACGCCTGTTCCAGAAGGGGCTGTCCCTCTCGTGAGCGAGCGTCGACGCAGACGCACGTCAAACGCCTTCTCTAAATCCACGGTGTTCGACGTGCGCGTCCCCCCTCCGCAGGCACGTCGCTCACGTCGCTCTGGACCCCCGCGCCGTCACCGCGACAAATGCCACTCCACACCACCCAACCCCCCGGGCCGTCGCGCCCCCGAGCTCGCCAGCTCGCCCCCGGCGTTGTGAGTTTCTCAGCCCCGCCCCGCGTCGAAAGCGCTTCCAGATCGTTTTGATGTATTGTTGCATCATTTCGCTCCAGCGAGGAGATGTGCCTTTTCAGTCTGGAGGGCATCCTCGGCGTGTCGTAACCAGAGCAGGTGGCGAGACTGGGTCGGCTTCGCGAGCTAGCTCATCACGTGCGAGAGAGTGGTAGGAAGCTGACTGAACTGTCGCAGATTTTCGTTTACGTTTTTTAAATGAGCAGTAGAGCGCGGCAACTCGCGGGGCGGACAGGAAGTTGGAGACGCTGCAAGCCGTAGCGCCAATCACCGACAGAGCCGAGCAGCCCGACTCTGTCTACATACTTTGAGACAGCAGTGCGCCGGAAAACTGTCCTATTGAAAGTGAGCGAGGTATACATTTATACGTTGTTTCATCAAAGGGTCATGTTTGCTCATTGTTGACGAGGAACAAAAACTCCCAACAAAATGAAGGTGAACACTACTAAGACGGGCGTACTTCTTGTGTCGAATATGGATCAATGTGACTGGTCGGCGAATTGACGCCCCCTTCACATCAGACAACACAGTAATAACAAAAGGGACGACTCACCTCACCCTGATCCGCGTCACGAGTCCGTCGCGAAAAGGTCGAGCCGGGGCAGAATGTCACCTCCTCCTCTATCCAAATCCCAAGGTCGGTCACACACTTGCACTCGTCACGGACTCGTCACGGACACCGATGACGACGCGTCGCCGTCACGTGACGGCGGCGTAACGCCTCGCGCGTGTTGCGAGCGACGGGCGGCCGGCGGGACGAGGCGGAGCTGCAGCGGCGCGGGCGGCCACGGCCGAACTGACTGGAGCCGTGCCGGCTGGGGCGGGGCGGCGCGGGGCGGCGCGGGGGCTGCATGAGGGCTGCTGCGTGCGGGCAGCGCAGCGCGGCGCCACCCCTCGGCTACCCTCGGCCCGCCGCCCCTAAGCCCCGCTCCGACAACCCCCTCCCGGCCACAGCGGCGGCGGCGGCGAAGCGGCGTGGCGTCCTGGGGAAGTCCTTCCCCTACCCCTGCCGCGGGCGCTCGCGATCAAACCGCAAAGCTCGTTCGAATCGACCGGAGTAAAAATGCACGTTTAAGAATTTCGCATCTCGAGAGGTATTTTCCTCCTTCCCACCACCCCTAAAGGAAATATCAAAACCAGAACGGCATTCTTCATCAAAACTGGTAACTTAACATCGGGTACAGAGGCAGAGCCCCAAAGAAGACGGACTGTCTAAAAATACATGCTTATTTTTGCAGAACGTTTCCACCCCTCTCACAGGCTGAGGTGCGAGTGCCTGGGCCGGGGGTGGTCCTTTCCGACGCTGCCGGACGCGGGGAGGCGGTGTCGGTGCCGCTGCGCGCGCAGGCGCCACCCCGCCACCGCCACGCCGCCCCGGCCGGGCCCTCCCGGCAGAATCGAGATTCCCTCCCTCCCTCCCTCCGCGCCCCTCATTCCTCCACTCCACCCTTCCCACCGGCCGGGCGCGTCCCACCCTCCCTCTCTCTCTTTCGGCGTGCCTGGCGTGCCGCGAGGTATGCACCGTGCCATGCGAAGTCGTGTCGTGTCGTGTGTCGTGTCGGGCGAATCACAAACTCGGCCTGGCGCGTCCGCACGTCGGCATACTTTGCCCCTCTGGAGCTGGGGCTGCAAAAGCACCGTCCAGCGGTCCAGCACCCACCATGGGTGCAGCTACAATATTCTGAGGAAGCTGCCTCATAATGGGAATAAAAAGAGGGTAGCGCCGAGAAGATGAGATCAGCTGCGTCCTGATTCGCTGTCCCCGTTTGCAGCCACAAAGTTGTAGCTACCGGGTGCCCAGGAGAAAACGCGGAAGCTCAATGCGTTGCCTAATGCCTACGCACTGGCGTGCAGGGGCGGAGGGTGAGAGGAAGAGGTGCCGGGAGGCAACCGGCCGCCTCCACGCCCTTGTTGTTTGTAGCTGCACAGTTGTAGCTACAGCTGACAGGGCCACTGGCAGCTTCATCAGAACCGACTGTAGAAATAAGTCCGCGGACTCAAGACATCCAAGGCATACAACTAAGCAGAACGAGAACGGCAGAACTGGACAGAACGCAGGCGGCCATAC